GCCGCTGAGCGAAGGAGAAACTGTTTGCTATTTCTAGTAGAATTTCCTTCTGTAATATTCTGTGTGTACAAAAGCTTTGTGATTCTGTGAACAATGCAAGATTTGGGTGGAAAGCACTATGAACAGTCAGTGCCTTTTCTTATTCAGCTGTGACGTGGAGCTGTTGTGGAACGGCAGAAATGTACAGGAGAAGGCTGGAGAGGAGGGGTCAAACTTTTTGCCAAAGCAGTTGGTATTGTACAGCTGCAAAACTGTCTCTGAGTATTGGAGCCCTAAGTTAAGGGTTCAGCCTTTCATTTCTTGGATTCATTTGTAAACCCATCCCCATTTCCTCTTAACGTGAAAGAACAGCAGATTAATCATCAAATATACTCACACAGCACACACATATTTAAAGATTCATTTATTCGAAAAGATAAGTGGTGGTAGGGTGGCACAGATGTCTCCTGTCCACTGGTTCATTCCTCAGATGGCCACAAAGGCTGGGGCTGGGCCGGGTTGAATCCAAGAGCCCATAATTCCATCAGGGCTTCTCACGTGGGCGGCAGGGACCAAAGCACTTGGGCCATCAACTACTGTTTTCCCAGGCACATTAGCAGGGAGCTGGATCAGAAGTGGAGCAGCCTGGGTACAAATCGGCACTCTGATATGGGATACTGGCAGTGCAGGTGGTGGCTTAACCCACTGTGCCACCAATACTGGCTGTCAAATGTATTTTAATAGACTTATTGGAGTTTAGGTAAAGATTATGCAGCATGTATTAGTTATCTGGGACTTGTAATAGTAGAAAATTTAGGAAGATAGGAACATTGTATCTTTAAAAGCTTCCCTTGAATGTTGTTTCCTTCTCACTCTAAATGTGATTTTTCTTAGAGCATTTGTTATAAGTGTATTGCATGTTTGCAAATGCAAGGGGGTTATTTTGGCTTGTTTAGAAACATGAAGGAGGGTTGAAAGTTAGGCCATTTTCCTTAGTTTGAACCTCTGCTAAGAACAGTTTAAGTTTTGTATTTTTAAAAAAGAAATATTCTTTTTCCTAAAATTTATTAAAGACTAAATATGAATCAAAACCCATAAAATTGCAGTACCAGTCAGGGAAATTCTGATTAATATGAGCCTGTCAGACTTTGCACAGAATGATATTGATTAGAGTAGGAAATTTAATTCTGAATTTTGCTATGTCTGCTAAGCTTTTGATAGCACCGGGTGGGGGATAAGTTGTTTAAAAACAGCACATTTTGGGGCCGGCGCCGCGGCTCACTAGGCTAATCCTCCGCCTAGCGGCGCCGGCACACCGGGTTCTAGTCCCGGTCGGGGCGCCGGATTCTGTCCCGGTTGCCCCTCTTCCAGGCCAGCCCTCTGCTGTGGCCCGGGAGTGCAGTGGAGGATGGCCCAGGTGCTTGGGCCCTGCACCCCATGGGAGACCAGGAAAAGCACCTGGCTCCTGGCTCCTGCCATCGGATCAGCGCGGTGCGCCGGCCGCAGCGCGCCGGCCGCGGCGGCCATTGGAGGGTGAACCAACGGCAAAAGGAAGACCTTTCTCTCTGTCTCTCTCTCTCACTGTCCACTCTGCCTGTCAAAAAAAAAAAAATAAATAAATAAATAAATAAAAACAGCACATTTTGATAGCAGGAATTTGACAGTATTTGGTAGAAACAGTGGAAGTCCATCATTTGCATCTTAACATAATATAATCATCTTGGATTGGGGATTCTGCTACCATTGTACCTTGGGCAGAGAACTTAATACTAAGATTCAGTCAAAGCGCTCATCGGTAGAGTAGGATAGAAAATCATTTTCTTGCCTTTTTAAGGTTTTCCTGGATCTCTTGAGAAAATACACGTGAATATCTGGCTTTGGAGAGTGAGCCAGCAGATGAGAGGTCTCTCTGCCTTTCAAATAAATAAAATAAGTAAAACATTAAAAAGAGGAAGACCCTGTTAATATTAAGTTCATAATCTCTGCATGCACTAGTAAGGTGCCTTAGTGACCCTGTATGGTATAGTTCACCTGTATTGTATTTTTGAACAGGTCAAAAAGGGGTGGTACCATAAATATCCAGCCTCCAACTTTGGTGAGCAGCACCTGTTCCTCTGTGCTTTCAGTCTTAGAACAGTATGATCCATTTATGCCTTTGGCATTTCTTCTTTGAATAGTCTTCAAGCAGTGTGAAGGAGGGTCACGTGTGATACAGCTCAAGGGATGCCAAGAGAGGTGCTGGTAGGGCCTGCCTTGGAGGTGGGCACCTAACTTTTGCAGATTTAATCTTGTAGCCCAACCCGAAGGAGAAGTCAATATACTGTTTCTTGGGTAGTGTGGAGTAAATCACAACACGTTTTTAATCCTTATAAAAACTCTGGATGTAACCTTCTTAATGCATGATTGTATACATTATCAGCACTCAGTACATTGAGCCCTAGCTTTAGTTTTTCTTTTCAGGCTATTTTGCTGGCCCTTGTGATTCCTTTACACAAAGATGACCCATCTCAGCAGATAATTACTACTTCTGTTTCAAATTTCGATGTTTGCTTTTTTGTTCCTTCTAAATAATTAGAAAAGTAGATGACTTCAGACTGCTACCTCCTTTCATATTGGCCATGCCTTTCAAAAGTTATGAATGGGGACCAGTGTTCTGACATAATGAACTAAGCTACCGCCTGTGGCGCGGGCAACCCATATGGGCACTTACTCATGTCCTGGCTGTTCCACTTGCAATCCATCTCCCTGCTAATGCGCCTGGGAAAGCAACAGAGGCTGGCCCAAGTGCTTAGGCCCCTGCTACCCATGTGGGAGACCCAGATGAAGCTCCTGGCTCCTGACTTTGGCCTGGCCCAGCACTGACCATTGTAGCCACCTGAGGAATGAGCCAGTGGATGGAAAATTCTCTCTCTCTCCCCCTCCCCCTCTTCCCCTACCTCTCTCTTCCCCTTCTCTCTAATTCTGACTTTCAAAATAAATAAATAAATCTTAAAGAAAAAAAGTTTATTAAAAAGTTACAAATGGACCTAAATTGACTAGATTTAAGGTAGTTGCAGTCTGAATTAGGGAGAAGGGGTCAGGAAATGAGCACGGCCCTCTGATGGGGCGGAACAATGAGGAAGCTCAGTGGAGAGGCTGCTGTGCACCTGTCGCGAAAGCCAGGCTTCAGGTACTCTCTGGACCTCGCCTGTAGCTGCCAGGTGCAGAGCTTCTGAACACATTGGGTCTCACTGCAGTCTTAAGAAGCTCACAGCGATTCAGCAGCTTTCCCATGTGCGGTTAGAGGCAGACCCAGTCGAGGCTGCCTGAATCCCAGAATCATTTCTTCCAGTGCAGCATTTTGTTTCCTGGAAAGGAGGAGGCACAATTCTTCAAAGATTTTCTGACTTAAATTTAAATGTAAAATGGACCAGTTTGGAGACTAGCATGTGATAAAGAAGATTAATATCTTTAATCTGGCCTCCACTAAAATAATCAATTAGTTATTGGGCCCTGATTCTATAATCCCTTAGTAAGGGAAATTCACACTCTGTATTAAGCAGATGCTGAATGAAAAAAAAAAAAAAAAACTCTATGCCACTGTCCAAGTGCTAAGCCTTAAGAATGCATACTTCGTGTTGAGTGGAAGGCGTAGGGTGGTGTTGCACAGATCATTTTCCAGTTGCTTCTTGTGTCTTTATCTTAAGACTTGTTTGAAACAAAAGCTTGATACCACTGTATAAACATCTGGAGGGACTTCTTCAAAGACCTATGATTTTCTTGATCTGCAGGGGTCTGGTGTGTTACCATGTCAGATATCTTCTCCCACAGATTTTACCCTGCAAGTGTCCTTACCCTCTTGAAAAGGAGAGCCAGCACACTTGTGTGGCATTTTCTCCAATCACTTGGTTATTTTGCACCAGACAGTTGCGCAGGAATTTGGGAACAGACCTAATGCAAGAAGAATAACAAATTTGAAGGCTGATGAGGTGCTAAGGATCGATGATCTTTGTATTCCTTACATAGAAATATCAGAAGAATACTTAATACTAGATCCTTTTAAGTTCAGCTTGGATTCAGGAACATCGCAGATGAAGTTGCTCGAAGATCTAGAATAAGTGGAGATCTTTCCGCAGATTTGAAGCACTGAACACACTGAAGTGCACTAGCGTTAATCATGAAACCACAGGAGAGACAGGGTTTTCAAAAATATAGGGCATTGTTTCTGTTCTTCATTTGTTGGAAAAGAGTCATTTTCCACTGAGTCCTAAGTAAATCATGTTTAGAATATCTGCATTGTTCTGTTACTGGTCTGAGAAGTGACCAGCAGGGCATTGTAAAGAGTAGATAGAGAGACTGATGGTAATTAAATTCAGTGTTCCTCATCTGGGTGAGAGGAGAGTGATACCTATTTGTCTGAAATACAATGAGACACACATTTTTAGGTCCTGGGTCAGGAGTTAGAATATAGCTGCAAGAAAGCTATCCCCAAAGCTCTTTGTATCCTCCCTTTATTCTGGGTTATAGTCCAACCTCCCTCCCTTGGGACTGCAGAAAGCTCCAAGGAAGACTGTCAGTATAACTCTTGTTGTGACATCAAATAATGGGTATTGCTAGGGCCTAGGGGAAAATTACTGTTAATCTGTTTTGACAAAAATAAATATGTAGAGGGGCTTTTGGGTGTTCGTTTGTTTCCCACATGGTATGTTAAGAAAGAAAGGGTGGTCAACCTGATGTATAGAAGAAAGAAAGTGTTATTTAACTTGTTTGGAGATAATGAAATGTAAATTAAACCTGAGAAAGAAGGAATCAATTGATGCTTTATCAGTTCATTTATTCTAATTGTTTTGTTTATTAATTGTTCATTGGTACTACAAGCTATCTTGTTCTGTTGGAGAGAACAGACTATTACATTATAACTTTTTGTTAATAAGAAGAAAACATAGAAGGGATATAATTTGTTGAAAACTTAAGCCATTCTGTTGTAATGATTGTGCAGAAACATTGGTGCCTATTGATCGTTTTTTCCCTCTGTTCTTCAGGGTCGACATGTTAAAACGGGTCAGTTGGCGGCCATCAAGGTTATGGATGTCACTGAGGTAAGGTTGGATCATGCATGTTTTTAAAGAGCTCATTAGATAAAAGACATCTTCCCAACCCCAACAATGGAAGAGTATGATTCTGTTTGGAGAAGTGATCCCTTGAACAAATTGCCCTCACATGACACTGCGAGTTCATAGGTCCAGCAGCAGACTAGTTGGCCTAAATTGTTGCAGATGGTCCCCAAGTAACTAAGAGTCAGTAGCATTTTCTTTTAAAGCAAAAAAATCTGAGTGATGTCATCCTTGGCAACAGAATGGGCCATAATTGGAAACATCTTCTCTAATGGAAAGGGAAGGATTCGGGAAGGGATCCTGGAGGTCACATGAGCAGGGAGGGTGCACTTGTGGGATGGGAACGCTTCTCTAGGGTATTAGGCCACGTTTGTGCCATTTATTTTATTTTTAACATGGGGGAAGAAAACAGATCAAGCCAAGTTCCCAGAGGTTGGAAAACAGAAACATCTGCTAGGCTGCTGAGCAGATTGTTGGCAAAATTTAGTAGCAAAAAATAGTTCTTGAAATGGTCACATGAGGATTTACTGTGCAGCTTTAGATGGGAAAGAGGAGAACTTAACTCAGACAAAAGGTAAGTGTGTTTGTGAGCCCCTGTGTATGCCTGTACATGTATGCATGGGCACACATGTAAATTTTTTTAAAAAAAGCTGTAAATTTTAATGAACTAAATCCACATAACTTCAAGTTATTTTTATATGAAAATTTAGTGTGCTCTTAAGAATGCTCCTAACTTGTCTAATCATGAATAGGAGACAACATCCTATTTCACAGATTCTGGAGTTAGCTAGCAGCAGCCTTGAGGATTTGGGATATTTTAAAATCAAGTCGTAATTTTCCCGAAATCTGGGGTCTGTCCAGGTGAACAGTAGCTCAACTTCTCTTAGACATACCACTCAGTTACCTGGAAAGATCTTCTCTGCCTTCCCCTCTGTGTGGTCTCCATGACAGTGTGGGAATCTACACTGTGCATACCGGCCAGTGAGGATTAGGGGCATTCTTGTCTCTGGACTATAGGATAACCTCATATAGATATTTGAAGATGTTACATTTTTTGAGCTGACCCTTGTCTTTTCTCATCAAACAGGGTAATGGAGATTTTAACATGAAAAACTGTTGCTTGATTAAATTGCCAAAACATTCTTAGAACATTGTGTTTTGCACTGTGTGCATTACAGCCTAGTGGTAGGATGAGATTTTGTCCAGTTAAATATTACTTTAGCATTATTTTAAAGAGTGGTGGGACAGCAGTACATTCTAACTTACTGTAATTAAATGAAGTGATTGAGTTTAGGCTCCCTCTGGGTGCTTGTTGGCACCTTCATATTGAAGCCTGTATTCGCACTAATGTACAGATCCTGCTGGTGCTGCACTGGGAAACAGTGTTGCAGGAGCCCACAGTTTGCATATTTATTTACATACTTTGTTTACTGGGAGGCTTATGGGTACCATTCTGAATGTCAGCTTTGGGATTTTATGAACTAAGATTTCAGTGTCTTTACTGGCATGCCTTCAGCCTTTGCTGCCTGGCCTGGCACTACTGTTACGGCTAGCAAGGTTTGCTCTTTTTCTCATCTCCAGTGGAGTCCAGATGGGGTTGATCTGCTCAGTAGAGGGCCTTTTCACCTCAGTGTGGGTCTGATTGTAAATGGGCAGTGTGTGGTCACTGTAAAAAGATCGGAGTGGCCATTGGGCCTAGTGGTTAGGATGCATGTTGCTACATTGGAGTACCTGGGTTTGAGTCCCAGATCCGTCTCCTGAGTCCAGCTTCCTGATAATGCAGGAAGTGGTGACAACTTTAGTGGCTGGGTTCCTCTACCCACATGGGAGACCTGGACTGAGTGCCCGACTCCTACCCAGCCTTAGTTCTTGCCAGTGGCCATCACGGGCATCTGGGGAGTGAGCCAGCTGATGGAGTTTGCTTGCTGGCTCTTGTGCGTGTGTTCTCTCTCTCTCTCTCTCTCTCTCTCTCTCTCTCTCTGTGTCTCTCCCTGCCTGTCTCTAACTCTGTTTCTCTTTCAAGTACATTGAAAATTTTTTAAAAGATTGAAATATTGAATATATGGTTAATTACATCCTTGCATTTGTGCCATTGTTGGTGCTTTGGTGCCTGTGCTTTCCGCCATCTTTCCATGAGCACAGCTGTAAAACATGTAGAAGGGCACTCATAAAGTTCATGGCAAAATGAAACGAAAAGGCTTATTTTGGTGCAAAAGAAATTTGAAATCAGTACACACTATTTCTCATAATACATTTTCCATTAACTTCTTGAAGACCCCCCCATATCTGTATGTAATGGGTGTTTTGTGTTCTACTTAAGTTGTATGCAAAAGGTATTTCCTTGCCTGAAAAATTCAGACAATGTTGGGCAAATGTTTGATACAAGTATTTTCAAGACTCCTCTAAAAATAATTAATGCAGCCGATGCCGCGGCTCAATAGGCTAATCCTCCGCCTAGCGGCGCCGGCATACCAGGTTCTAGCACCGGTTCTGTCCTGGTTGCTCCTCTTCCAGGCCAGCTCTCTGCTGTGGCCCGGGAGTGCAGTGAAGGATGGCCCAAGTGCTTGGGCCCTGCACCCCATGGGAGACCAGGAGAAGCACCTGGCTCCTGCCTTCGGATCAGCACGGTGTGCCGGCCGCAGCATGCCAGCCATGGCAGCCATTGGAGGGTGAACCAACGGCAAAAGGAAGACCTTTCTGTCTCTCTCTCTCACTGTCCACTCTGCCTGTCAAAAAAAAAAAATAATAATAATAATTAATGCAAAGGGCACGCATTCAGGTAAAATGAAAACCAGATGTTGAATCTTAAAAAAAAAAGTACAAACTCAGTCACTCTTATACTGTATTGGCCTCTCAGTACTGTTTTTTGTGTGCTGTTTTCATGCAGTGACCTCTGCTATACCGCAGTGCACAGTCAGCACCCAGAATTAAGTCTTGCCTACAGATAGAGGACTAGCTGTCAGCCTGGGAAACACATCTTAACCTACCCTCCACATCCAGGCCTTTGGCTCTTTTAAGTTGTAAGCATTAGCCTGACTGGGATCTGGGGGCAGGAGGGAGCAGCTGGAGTGAGAGATTTTGCAGCTAATGCTTCTGGTTCCAGCCCCAGCAGAAGGGTCTGTTGTCCAGGATTCTCTTGGAAAGCGTGGAATTCTGGATTTCTGACTTCCTTTTAGCTTCATCTCAGGAGCAAAAAGGTGCAAATGCTCATTCATTCTTGAGAAAAACCACAGACTTGTCCTGCCTCCTTTGATGAACCTGAGAGGCACTTACCAGGCTGCTAGTTACTGTTCAGGCTCAGAACGCAAGAAGAACAGCAGGTGTGGGAAGATGAATGGCAGGGCTGCTCCTTTCCGCAGCTGTTAGCTGCTGGCAACCTGAATGAGTTGAGCTTTTTGGAACTGGCTGCAGTGAGAGAAAACGGGGGCCCACTTCATCTGCAATCTTTCTTTTTTGTTCTTAAAGATTTATGTATGTATTTGAAAGGAGGCTGAGTTACAGAAAGAAAAGGAGAGGCACAGTGAGAGAGTGAGAGAGAGAGATCTTCCATCTGCTAGTTTACTTCCCAAATGGCCACAATGGCAGGAGCTGGGCCAGTCCAAAGCCAGGAGACTGGAGCTTCTTCCTGGGCTCCCCCATGGCTACAGAGGCCCAAGGACTTGGGTCATCATCTTCCGCTTTCCCAGGCACATTAGCAAGGAGTTGCATAGGAAGTAGAGTAGTAGGGTCTTAAATTGGTGTCAGTATTGCATACAGGCTGGTACCCCAGGTGGCAGCTTTACCCTCTGTGCCACAACAGTGGTCCCCACCTGCATTTCTTGATGTGAACCCGGAAGACAAAAACAAATGAGATTTTGGGTTTCACTCTGGTGTGAGGTGACAGGGGGCAGTGTTGAAAATTAAGCAGTCTGAGGAGGAGGCATTATTTGCAAGAGAGGTAAACATTTCTTAATATCTCTTAGTACTTTAACAGCATTAAGAATTGACCATTCTTAGAATTGTGAAGGGCTCTTTTGAAGGAAAGTGATCTTTTGGTTGGTTGGTTTTGGGATGGGTTTAAGGAGCAAGTTAGGGATGTGTTTGAACTGAGTAACACTAGGAGAACAGATCTATAATGTGTTTTTTGTTTCATTTTATAGTTCTTTCAGATTTACAGGAGTTTGCTGAATACTGTATAGGAAAGGCTCATGTACCCAGTTTCCCCAGTAAACTATAGTAAAATATCATAACTGAAGTATACACACAACAAAGCAAGGCAGTGAGTGCTTTTATAAGCTAAGGATTGACCTGGACTTCACATTTTTCAGTTCTAGTAAATTAGGCTACACTGCCACACTGTGTCTGCTTGCTCGACTTAGAACCAAGGCAAAGTATTAGAAATTGATATTAGTACAGTGTGCTCCATGGAACATATGTGGATGTCTCCATTGTAACATGCACTCATTTTTGTGAATGTGCTGTGCTTCAAAGGAATTTGAACTGGTTATTTGGATTCTTTGTAGCCATTTCATTTCTTTGTGTTTTAATGTCAAAGCTTCTGTTTTAGATAAAGGACTGATATACATAAGTGACCAATATTTGTTCTTGCATGTATTATTCAGTTTCTTGTTATTTGAACTGGAATACCTGAGAGGAGCTTGTTGGGAAGGCAAAGGTTTATTTTAGCTTACAATTTAAAGCTTCACTGTTGAGAATCAGATGGCTCCATTGGTCTGGCGGGGGTACAGAGCAGGTGCGGAGGAATAACATAACATGGTAAGCCAGAAAGCAGAAAAAGAAACTAGGCTCAACTCAGCTTAAATCACTAACTCTGGTGAGAACTACCTTCTGAGGGCAAGCTTCCAGTGACTTCCAGACTTCCCACCAGACTATCAAGTCTCCACCCTTAATCCATCAACCCTTAACATTAAGACTTAAACATCTGCTCAATCCATGGCGTTGCAGTTTTAGGTTATCCCAGTACTTTAACACTCTGGTAAAGGTGA